CTCTCTTCTCTATCCCCCACCCCCCCACCCCCCCCCAAACCCTCAAAAAAAATCCCCCACCAATCATTTACTTGAGATCTCTTCCTCTACTGCACCCCATAATAAGGAGTCAGCTCAGACCAAATCTTCATCATAAGCCGAATTTGTCTCTTCTTCTGGATTACACAATTCTCTCTATTCAAATCCTGTGACAGCGATCAAATATCCCCACATCACGCTGCCAAAGTAATATATGTGTCACACTGTTTTGTTTCAAACGCATCAAGATGAAGCCTCTACACAATACCTCCCACGTTCAAGCTCTGGTAGCAATTCAGAAACCACTTTTTCCATTGAGATTGTTTCTATCTGCTGCTGCTTGCTGCTCCCATCTTTTTTTATCTTTTTCGAAAGAAGATTGATCCTCGGAGATTCCGGATTTTCAGCTACGAGTTGTTCGAAAAATTTCTCTTCATCATTGAGTATCGAGGCCTTCATGAGATCCATCACTTGATGCCTTCTTGCAACATTTCTACCTGCTCCACACCCCATTGCAGTTGCTGCTCCAACTGCATTTGCAATTGTTAAGGTATTAACCAGCGGCATGCTGCGTATATAACCTAGGGCAATTGCAGCCACAAAACTGTCTCCACATCCAACAGTGTCAACCACTTCCACCTGATGATGTTTTGAGAAAATGCATAATTAGATCATTACGCAAACTTACTCTATGAATGCCAAAAGGAACGGATTATATGTTGTGTAAGCAGGTACCTTAAACGCAGGAGCCACTGAGACACTAGACTTCGTCACAAGAATTGATCCCTTCGCGCCCATCTTTACAATCACCCATTTCGTTCCTTTTCCATTCCTCAGAATTTCTTGTCCTGCTTTTACAGGGTTCCTGATGCCAGTTAGAGCCTCCGCCTATGCAATTCATTTAACAGTTCAGCAATAATTTCACCAAGTAGGGCAACTTTGAGATTTGAGCATTATCGAGAGACATGCAATTTACCTCCTCGGATGTCAAAAGAAGAACATCGCTCATTCTTAAGAAGTGAGCAAGTGCTCTACGCTCATCAGGAGTTCCCTTGGAAAGACTCTTTCCCCGTGGTCCAGGATCAAAGAAGATAGCTGTCCCAACTTTGGAAGCATAATCTATCGTTGACATTATAAAAGTAGGGCTGAAATCGTCAAAGTCATAACCATTGCAGAAAAGAACTTTTGACTGTCTGATTGCCATCTTTACTTCATCAGATAGGTCTGTGATCCAACTGAAAGCAGGTTCCTCCTTGAAATCGGCTCGACTAAAAAGAGAAACAACTCAAGAGAATAAGTTCCTCTAGTAATAGAATTCAAGGAGCTTATAACAAATACGAGTATTGGAAGTAAATACAAGAATTTGCTTCACAGATAGACATAAGAATTAGAAACAAAAAGGGACATAAATTTCTTGAGTCAAAGAATTCGAAGAAGTAATAAACAGCCCTGGAAGCAAGTATGACAATATCACCCACTAGCGTTTGTTTCACTAATAGAAACAAGATGTCTGAACAAGAAAGCCATATCTTCCTGACAGAAAAAATCTGCTAAGTCTGCACTTTTTTGTTTCCCAAAAAACTCTAATGAAACCTTTTATTTCTAGATACTTATCACCAACTCCATGAAAAGTACATCAATGTGATGATGCATTCATTAAAACAGTTATCCTACATAGACCAACACCACCATAGATCTTTCCAATTATACTCAGTTTCCATAGAAACTCGACATGGCAAAAAGCATACCTGCAAAACCCATGTCGTTGCAAAGGATCCACAAGAACCCAGCAAATAAGAGTCTCACAATATGAGCTGCTATCTTTGGCAGTTGTTCCTTTATCCAATGCAACCGTACCTATTCCTTCTTCATGAAGCACATCTAGAAGAAACTCACCGTAGGTTTCATCCCCCACGTGACCAATCGCAACACAGTGAAGCCCCAATCTAGCAGCCGCTATAGCCATGTTACAGTTGCCACCTGCTTCCCAGTATTTCTATAAGCAAAACAGGGAACAAAAACACTTCACTACTAACATCAAGAACAAAAACAAGAAGAAAGATGAATCAACAATAATTTCAACTAAACAAGAGAGAAAAAAAAGTTACAATTTATCATAAAAAAAAAGGGTTCCAAGAAAGTTCGAAATTTTCATCACTGAAAGAAAGAAAGAGAAATAACAATTAGTAGTACCCAAACCTTATCTGGGGGAGAAAGAGAGAGTTCGTCCATGAGCGCCTTGCGCTCTCCGCGAGAAGGAGGGGGCAATTCGTGAACACTGAGAACAATGTCGACGCAGAGATTACCCAGGGTTGCGACATCGATAGGTTTCTCGGCCACCACGATATCTCCATTTTCCCCGAGAGAGCCGATGGAGGAGGAGCCATCGGCGTATTTAAGCGGGGATACATCAGCGGCACTGCTCCGACAGCGGAGGCAAACGGAGCTGCTCACATGAGGGACTGGAGCTAATGGCGGGAAACTAGGGAGGCGAGGATTAGGGCTTTGGGTGGAGAAATTGGAGAGGGATAACGCATAGTGAGGAGAAAAAGAGTGGAATTTTAGGGCAACGGCGAGGTGATGCATTTGGAAGAACCCAGAAAGAAAGAGAAGAAGAAGGAGATATTTGATTCTTGAATTGCTTAGTCGTTCTCTCTCAGTTTCTCCTCTCTTCTTCGTCTTCAAATGAGATACTCTTTTGTTCTTCACCGTTTGATTTTGAGGAAGAGGCTTTCCGCTTTTCTGTATGTGGTAAATTAAACCGGAGTGAAATCAGAAAGTCAAGTCAAAATAGAACCGGGTACGGTTTGTTATTTTAAGCCGCCTGAAACAAATTAACTAAAATTGGAGGGTTTATATTGAAAGGGTTTTTCATCTTCACTTGATTATACTTGTCGACGGCCACCAAAAACCTTTCTTCATCGTTTCTGTTCTGAGCTCACTTCAAGCCATGGCCGCCGACGAATTGATGCCGTCTCACAGGTCACACAGGACTCGCAAAGCAGGTCCTACCATGAGGAAAAAATCTGAAATCGATAAGAAGAAGCGTGGTATCTCCGATACCAAACAGAATAACCCTAAGGTGAGCTACTACTTCTCCTCCTCTCTCCCTCTTTGTCAATGCCTTTTGAGAGTTTCTTTGTCTTCTTCGCTGACTGGGTACTTATGGACAAAAACGATTGTACTTGGTTCTGCAGGCGTTTAGTTTTAAATCAGCTCGCAGGGCGCAGCTAGCTGAATCTCACGCTACGGAGAAGGAACAAAAGCGACTTCATCTTCCCAAAATTGATCGTACTTATGGCGATCCTCCTCCTGTCGTCGTCGTTGTTCAAGGCCCCCCAGGAGTACTGTGTTTTATATTGATATGGCGTTTTCTCTCTTGAGTTTGGTTGTTTTCTAAGAAAGTTTTGATTGTTTCTCCACTGTGTATTTATTCCTCTAGGTTGGGAAGTCTCTCGTGATCAAGTCTCTTGTAAAGTTATTCAGTAACCAGAGTGTACCTGAGGTTCGAGGACCTATTACCGTTGTACAAGGTTCTGTGCTACACTGTTTATTGTTTTCTTTTCTTTTCTTTTCTTTATCTGGTCTTCATCTGCCGTGCTCATGTTAGGCTGGTCATGAATTTAGGTAAACGTCAGCGGTTTCAATTTGTGGAGTGTCCAAATGATATCAATGGGATGGTGGATTGTGCAAAGATTGCTGATCTAGCCATGCTTGTGGTAGACGGGAGTTATGGTTTTGAGATGGTAAGAAACCATTTTTCTCTAGCTTTCTACTTTTTCCTTAAATAAGTGCTTTATCTAAGCTTACCATTCTAACCAAGGTGTGATAAGCAAATTGTCTTTTAATCTGTTTGAACCTCAGGAAACTTTTGAATTCCTCAATATTATGCAAGTGCATGGATTTCCTAGAGTTATGGGTGTCCTCACACACCTTGATAAGTTCAACGATGTTAGTAAGCTGAGGAAAACAAAGACCCGTCTCAAGCAGCGGTTTTGGAAGGAAATATTTGATGGAGCTAAATTGTTCTATTTATCTGGTCTCATTCATGGGAAGTAAGTATCTACATTGATAATTCACCAACATAGATGACACGTGCAAGGATCGTTTGATGTTCACTTTTAATTTATCTTTTATTGGTAGGTATTCGCCGCGTGAAGTTCACAACCTTGGCCGCTTTGTAGCTCTTTGCAAGCCTCAGCCATTGTTATGGCGATCATCACACCCTTATCTGTTGGCTGATCGCCTAGAAGATGTAACCCCTCCCGAGAAAGCTCAGATGGATAAAAAATGTGATAGAAATATCACACTGTATGGTTACCTACGTGGTTGTAACTTGAAAAAAGGGATGAAGGTACGTTATCAGATGTTTTGTCATCATTTTCCTTAGAGACTGGTTCATCTTAGCATTTTGAGTTTTCTATGGCCTAAATCCGAGCCAATTATTTGCTTAACTGTATGTGGCCCTAAATTCTCATTTTTTTAGGAAAAGACCAATTTTTAAATTGAGCCTAGTGATGAGCTGATTTGATGTTAATTTGATGTTATCTATACGTTCTTCCTTGCTGGTATTGATCCATAGATTCTAATTGATTCACGTATTACAGCATTTTAGAACTAGTTATCCAGTAACTGAGAGTAACTAATTCTATTGACACGTTAGCTAGTTCCCATATTGAATAAGAGGAGCATAAAATTTGCATACCCACTGAATTGTCATTGCTTCTTTATCTAATTGAATGGCATTTTAGCTGTTACAGTTTATGTTTCTATCTTGTTTAACATGCATCTGATCTAACTAATGATTATCAGGTTCATATTGCTGGAGTTGGCGACTACAGTTTATCTGGGGTGACTGCTTTAAGTGATCCGTGTCCTTTACCTTCAGCTAGCAAAAAAAAAAAGAAGAGGCTTGGGGATAAGGATAGGCTTTTTTATGCTCCCATGTCCGGGATTGGAGAACTTTTGTATGACAAAGATGCTGTTTACATCAACATAAATAAGTACCATGTTCAGTACTCTAATACTGATGATAAAATGGAAGAACCTACTAATAAAGGTTATTTATGGGGTTTTCTAAGTTTATTGTCATATACTAGTTCTATATGTGTCTCATTTCATGTTTAAAGAATTTCTACATATTAAGAATTTGGTTTACATCATTCCCCATGATAGAATCCAATAGATTTTGCTCACTTTTTGTAGCCCTAGCATTTCTGATTGTGGCATTTTTATCTTGGCAGGAAAGGGCAGAGATGTTGGTGAAGATTTGGTAAAGTCGTTGCAGGACACAAAGTATTCTATTGATGAGAAATTGGATAAGACATTCATTAACTTTTTTGGCAAAAAGACTAGTGCCAATTCAGAAACAAAATTTAAGGCTGAAGATGCGTATCAATCTTTGCCGGAAGGTTCCGACAGCGAGGAGTCTCAATCTAATGATGATGATGAGGATGATGAAGTGCATGTAGAGGGTAAGGGCAGTGAAATAAATCAGATAACTGAGATTGATGGTGGAAGGTTGAGGAGGAAAGCTATCTTCAAGGATGACATCGGTGGAAGTGATGCAATGGTAATCTCCTTACTTGATCTGATATTTCTAATGCTTCTATTTAATATTGCAGTCACATCTTCAGTTGGATAATAATGGTGACTATGAGATCAAGAGTTACTGAACGTGAATTTTCTCTTTTTCATTATTTTATGTTAGACAATTTAGATGAATTGGTGAAACAGTTGAAGTAGGTTAAGTCAATCGTAAATCCCTGTAGTGAAAAAGATTTTGGGAAGCAGTATCTATTTGATGTCGACCGATTATATTTCAAAATTACATTGTTTTCTCCATGCCTGGCTATGTGTGACGCAGGACTCAAATGAAGATGATTTTGAGGAGGCGGATGATGCTGAACTGGACTTGGATGAATATGATTTTGAGGAAGCAGATGATGTTGAATTGGAAAATGAAGTTGAAGATAGTGGAGATGACTCTGCTTCTGATTCGTCAGGGGATTACCAGATAGATGGTATGTAACTTCTACGTTTTAATATACTTTTGAATAGATGATGTCCTTTATTATTTTCTTGAGAAAGTACATTGTCCTTTGCCATTTGAGATTTTGTTTGTTCCTAAACACTGACCGTAAAAGGGTTTTCAGATACAGACCATGGTAACATATCACAATGGAAAGCAATCTTGAAGGAGAATGCCAGAAAGAAGAACCCCAGTTTGACACAAATTGTGTATGGAGCATCAGGATCATCAGCTACTCCCTTGATAAATGAGAACCCTGACATTAGTGATGATGAAGATACTGATGATGAAGACTTCTTTAAGCCAAAAGGAGAGCAAAGCAAGGTTTGCCATCTCAATTCCATATGAAATTTGGTGATCTTTTCTTGTTCTTAAGAATGTCTCCATCATTAATTTTTCATATAAATCCAGAACTCAGGTGGTGGATGGGATGTGGGATATGTCAACTCAGAGGATTGTTCAAAATTTATGAATTATGGTCACCTAAAGAATTGGAAAGAGAAAGATGTCTGTGAGAGCATTCGTGATCGATTCACCACTGGTGATTGGTCAAAAGCTGCTCTGAGAGACAAAAATTTAGGTACTGCTGGTGAGGGAGAAGATGATGAACTTTATGGTGATTTTGAGGATCTTGAGACGGGAGACAAGCATAAAAGCCATGAGAACATGGAATCGGGTGCATATGATAATGACGATGAAGATGCTGAAGCCGTTGAGCGTAGGCTAAAAAAGTTGGCTCGCCGAGCAAAGTTTGATGCAGAATATCCTTTTTACCCGAAATCATTTGCTGTCTTTCATCTGTGTTTGGCCAACAAGTTATCTACTGTCGTCTGTGTTTTATTTTTCTCTGAAACAACCTTAAAAATATGGTGAAAATTCTAGCTTAGTTTAATTAAATCAGTGAGTTTGATGGTTGCTGTTTAGATATTCTTCCTCTGCATGTCTTATATGTCATATTTGGTTTTATGCTACTGTTTCAGTTTGCACTTTGACAAGTTACTTTTGGTTCAACCTTAACTTCGCTGTACAAGCAACAAACCCGAGTTAGAGGAGGATGACAATGATAAAGGTGATGGGAACAATCCTCGTAGTCAAATCAAGGAACCAGGATACGTTGATAAAGTAAGTAAATTTTGCTGCAGGCAGCTAAGATATCTATCCATTGCCTTGAACTCACTCTATTTGCTTTGCAGTTGAAAGAAGAGCTTGAAATTAGAAAACAGATGAATCAGTTGGAAATGAATGATCTTGACTCGGATACTCGAATTGAGTTAGAAGGATTCCGGGCTGGAACATACATGAGGCTGGAGATTCACAATGTTCCTTATGAGATGGTTGAATTCTTTGATCCTTGTCATCCAATTCTTGTTGGAGGTATTGGTTTCGGCGAGGACAATATTGGATATATGCAGGTAAGGCTACAACAATGTTCATTTCTTCTGACCTAAAAGAAAGTCCAAAGTCCAAATAAGCATGAACACAGCTAAGATCTTATATAAAGATAGTTGAAACATGATCTTTTAGTTGAACGATGCTTATTATATCATATGTATCCTTGTATTTAGGCCCGGTTGAAGAAACATAGGTGGCATAAGAAAGTGCTAAAGACAAGAGATCCTATCATAGTGTCTATCGGGTGGAGACGCTATCAAACTCTTCCCATATATGCCATTGAAGATCGCAATGGCAGACATCGAATGCTCAAGTATACTCCAGAACATATGCACTGCCTTGCTACGTTCTGGGGTCCTCTTGTCCCACCCAGCACCGGCTTTGTTGCTTTCCAGAACCTGTCAAACAATCAGGTATGTGAATGAACTATGCTGCTTGAGATTTTGACCCCAATTTACCTTGGAGTGTGTTTGGTAAATCTTAGTGCATCTTCAGAAATGGGTAGTGTTAGTTTACGGACTGACCAATAATAAACACTCAGTGAACAATATTGGAATAGTTTCTTCATATTCATAGATATAGGGGGCAGAATTCACATGGATATCGTAAGTTTCGCATTGGCTGCTTTAATGGTGACTTTTACATGTTCCCCCTCTCTTGTAGTGTGGGGAAGCAGTTGACTCTAGAAATACTTCTAATTGTGGTAATAATCAAACTCTACCAACCTGTTCGTTTTCTAGACCATTCGGTATTTTTAAAAAAAAAATTGGATTTATGTTTTATTGATTCATTTTCTTCTTTTATATCAGGATGTATCCACTATTAAGTATGGTTTGAAAATTTGGAACTTGTATGTGAGGAATAAAATAAGATGATTCCTTCCTTCTATAGTCGTTGTGACAACTTAAAATGAGAGTTCCCTGAGGGAAGTTCCATATCAGTCCATTCTGCTCCATTGTTTAGTGTTGTTGAGATATCATGCAACTGTTCATCCATAGTTGTCAAATTTATTTGTTCTAGTTAGAAACCCTGAATGGCCTAGATATCATGAATGGGGTAACTTATTGGTTGTTTCCTTAGATCTACTGTTTTCTTCTCCTGCTGAGTATCTTTTCTGGTGTATGCTTCAGGCAGGATTTAGGATAACAGCGACTTCTGTAGTTGTTGAGTTTAATCACCAGGCCCGTATTGTTAAGAAAATCAAGCTTGTTGGGACTCCCTGCAAGATCAAGAAAAAGACTGCATTTATCAAAGACATGTTCACTTCTGACCTTGAAATAGCTCGATTTGAAGGTTCATCTGTCCGGACAGTTAGTGGCATTAGAGGACAAGTTAAAAAGGTATGCTTTCAATTTCCTTCTGAATCCTAAATTTTCCAAATTAGTTGGCTCTTTGGTTTTCTAACAACCTCCTTTTGTCAGGCTGGAAAAAACATGCTCGATAACAAGGCGGAAGAAGGGATTGCAAGGTGTACGTTTGAAGATCAAATCCATATGGGCGATATGGTCTTCTTAAGGGCTTGGACTACAGTGGAAATTCCACAATTTTACAATCCTCTAACAACAGCCTTGCAACCCCGCGATAAGACCTGGGAAGGGATGAAAACTTTTGGCCAACTCCGTAGAGAGCTAAATATTCCTATTCCGGTGAATAAGGATTCGCTGTACAAGGTAAAATCCCATACAATGCAGAATTATTGTGTAGGTGGGGGTGGGGAACCAAGGAGTGCCAATCTTCTTCACTAATTTCTCTCGTTTGTGTTAAAACATTTGCAGCCGATCGAAAGAAAGCCAAAGAAGTTCAGTGCACTAAAGATTCCAAAGAGTCTACAAAGAGATCTTCCGTTTAAATCGAAACCGAAAGATTTACCAAGACGGAAAAGGCATTCTCTAGATGAGAAAAGAGCTGTTATAATGGAACCGAAAGAAAGGAAAGTTCATACTGTCATCCAGCAATTTCAGCTGGTGCACCACGACAAGGTAAATGTTTAAAAACGATTAGCATATTTTCTAGCACCCATAAAAACCTTGATTAATCTTGTCTCTGACTTGAATTAAAAGACTTGAATTAAAAAAAATTGTAGATGAAAAAGAAGAAGGCAACTGAGCAGAAGAAGAGGAAAGAGTATGAAGCAGAGAAAGCTAAGAATGAGGAAATAAATAAGAAGCGTAGGAGAGAGGAGAGACGTGAGAGATATCGTGAAGAAGATAAGAAGAAAAAGAAGATGAGAAGAAGCCATGATTAAATTACCTGCGTTTTGCTTCAGACCAACTGTGTAATGCTTGAGTTTTGTTTTCATGTTTTCACTGCTGTGTTAAGTTTTTTCTTAACTTCTGAAAATCTGAATTATCTGTCACAGTTGCACATTTCTCGAAAGAATATTTCCCAAAATTTTGGAAATACTACCTCTTTGAGTCTTTTGACTAATACTTTAGGTTGAATTATTATTCAAAGCTTTTTTTTTAGCACCAACTAATTCGGTTTTAATTTTGCTTCATGTCACATACATGACATAGTTTAGTTGTGAAAATGTTAGGATTTGGCTAACAAAAGCCGAGAAATGGAATGGGTGGGAAGTGGGAAAACCATCACATCCCCTGAAATTTATTTCTTCTTCTCTTCATATAAACCCTAAACCCTCTTTTAAACCCTAAATTATCTCTATCGGTTTATACGATAGCAATGAACAAAACAGTCGTAAGATGTCTTCTTTCTCCTTCACATCATCCCTTGCTTCGATTCCCCACCAATTTCTCTCTTCTCCACAGAGTTTTCACCTGTAGCCGTTATCTCACCACTAGGTTTATGTCCACTCCTCCGCCCGACGAAATGTATGGATTCGACGACCCTTTCTCCCCCAGTGAGTCTCGGGATGTTGTGGATTTGACTAAAGAGTTTTCCTTTTTGCACGATTCTCTTGTATCCTCTGGAAATTTTGTTGATGTCCACCAACTAGTGCCCATTACTCAATCCTCTATTGATGCTAGAGCCATCGCGGAGGCTGTTTCTGGTTGCGACGATGTGTTTGGGAGTAAATCCCAGAAGTTTCTCAGGCAATTTAGAGAGAAACTGAGTGAGAGCTTGGTGATCGAGGTGTTGCGTTTGATTGAAAGACCTTCTGCCGTTATTAGCTTCTTCGTTTGGGCAGGTAGGCAAATAGGTTATAAGCATACTCCACCTGTATATAACGCTTTGGTAGACCTGATTGTACGTGATGATGACGAAAATATTCCGGAACAACTCTTGCAACAGATAAGGGATGATGACAAGGAAGTGTTTGGGGAATTTCTCAATGTGTTGGTAAGGAAACATTGCAGGAATGGGTCATTTAGCATTGCACTCGAGGAGTTAGCGAGACTGAAGGATTTTAGTTTTAGACCTTCAAGATCTACTTATAATTGTTTGATACAGGCATTTCTCAAGGCTGATCGTTTGGACTCTGCTTCTTTGGTTCACAGGGAAATGTCCCTTGCAAATCTTAGGATGGATGGGTTTACACTTCGATGCTTTGCTTATTCTCTCTGTAAAGTAGGAAAGTGGAGGGAAGCTCTATCATTGATGGAAGCTGAAAATTTTGTCCCTGATACTGTATTTTATACAAAACTGATATCTGGTCTGTGTGAAGCTTCGCTTTTTGAAGAAGCTATGGATTTCTTGAATAGGATGCGAGCTACTTCCTGTCTTCCAAATGTTGTAACATATTCAACTTTGCTTTGTGGATGCTTGAACAAAAAACAGCTGGGTAGGTGTAAAAGGGTGCTTAATATGATGATGATGGAAGGTTGTTATCCAAGTCCTAAGATTTTTAATTCTCTAGTACATGCTTATTGCACATCAGGAGATCATTCATATGCATACAAATTGCTAAAGAAAATGGTTAAATGTGGTCACATGCCAGGATATGTTGTCTACAATATATTGATTGGGAGTATTTGTGGTGACAAAGACTCGCTTAGTTGTGATCTGTTGGAATTAGCTGAGAAAGCTTATAGTGAAATGCTTGCTATAGGGGTTGTTCTGAATAAGATTAATGTCAGTAGCTTCACACGGTGTCTTTGTAGTGCTGGGAAATATGAAAAGGCATTTAACGTTATCCGGGAGATGATTGGTCAGGGATTTATACCAGATACCAGTACCTATTCTAAAGTCCTTGGTTATTTATGTAATGCTTCAAAAATGGAGTTGGCGTTTCTGTTGTTTGAAGAAATGAAAAAGGGTGGCCTTGCTGCTGATGTCTACACGTATACTATTATGGTAGATAGCTTTTGTAAAGCTGGTCTGATTGAACAGGCTCGTAAGTGGTTCAATGAAATGAGAGAGGTTGGCTGTACACCTAACGTCGTCACATATACCGCTCTTATCCATGCTTATCTTAAGGCTAATAAGGTCAGCTGTGCGAATGAGCTGTTTGAAACGATGCTGTCTGAAGGGTGTCTTCCTAATATTGTTACATATTCTGCCTTAATTGATGGCCACTGCAAAGCTGGAAAATTGGAGAAAGCTTGCCAGATTTTTGAAAGAATGTGTGGCAGCAAAGGTGTTACAGATGTAGAAATGTACTTCAAGCAGTATGATGACGACAGCGAGAGGCCAAATGTAGTTACATATGGAGCTTTACTGGATGGTTTATGCAAGTCGCTTAGGGTTGAAGAAGCTCGTAAATTGTTGGATGCAATGGCTATGGAAGGTATTGAACCGAATCAGATTGTATATGATGCTCTCATTGATGGACTCTGTAAGGTTGGGAAACTAGACGAAGCACAAGAAGTTAAAACTGAGATGTCTGAGCATGGATTCCCCGCGACCTTATATACTTACAGTTCTCTAATTGATCGTTATTTCAAAGTGAAGCGCCAAGATTTAGCCTCAAAAGTATTGTCTAAGATGCTTGAGAATTCATGTGCGCCCAATGTGGTTATATACACTGTGATGATTGATGGCTTATGCAAGCTTGGTAAAACTGATGAAGCCTATAAGCTTATGCAAATGATGGAAGAAAAAGGGTGTCAGCCTAATGTTGTGACATATACAGCAATGATTGATGGATTTGGAATGATTGGTAAAATAGACACATGCCTTGAGCTCTTAGAACGAATGTGTTCCAAAGGTGTTGCTCCAAATTATGTTACTTATAAGGTCTTGATAGATCATTGTTGCAAAAATGGTGTACTGGATGTGGCCCACCATCTTCTAGAAGAAATGAAACAGACACAGTGGCCTACACATGCAGCCGGATATCGCAAAGTCATTGAAGGATATAATAAAGAGTTCATAGAGTCTATAGGGCTTCTTGATGAGATAGGCCAGGATGATACTGTCCCATTTCTTTCTGTATATAGGCTTTTAATTGATAATCTTATTAAAGCTCAAAGGCTGGAAATGGCTCTTAGGCTTCTTGAAGAGGTTGCAACATTTTCAGCCACGTTGGTTGGCTACAGTAGCACATATAATTCGTTGATTGAAAGCCTTTGCCTTGCTGATAAAGTGGACGAGGCTTTTCAGTTGTTCTCAGATATGACGAAGAAAGGTGTCTTTCCGGAGATGCAAACATTTTGTAGTCTTATCAAGGGACTTTTCCGAAACAGCAAGATCGATGAAGCACTTTTGCTTCTAGATTTCATATCTCATATGGTTTGTCCTCTTTGACTCTTTCTTCTGAGTTTGAAAAGTACAGGAATCATTAATGTTAGTTAAACTGTATTTTTTTTGCAATGATCACTTGAATCTATGTATATTTTATTAGAGCTAATTATCTAGTGGAAACAAGGCATTTGCATGTGGTACTTAATACTGTTTATGTAGTTCTTTGTATTTGTTTCTGGTATTTCATTGCTAAATTGCCTCAATTTTGCAGGAAATTCATTGGATAGAAGAAAAGAAAACATCTGATCGGACTTAGGCATATTGATTTATGATATGTAGTTCTGATTTGCTCAAACCCTGAAATTTCGAAGGTTATAGATGATGCATGGGAACAATGGGTTTTTGGACCAATATTCTTTGTAAGTTTATTGGTTTTAGATGACATAGACTCAATATTTACTTTGAAATATGTCTGCTTCCTTTGAAATAGCGACATGCATATGTTTATGTATGCAGGTTCTGCCCTGTGCATGATGTGTAATCTACATTTCTAATGGCTCTCAATAGAGTTGAAAGGCCTCCTTTAAGCACTTTACAACTGCATTAATGCTTTGCATAGGTAAGCACAACTCTGGTAGAGTATGTAAGATCTTCACCAAAAGACAAATAGATTTCATGATTCAATGATTAGTCAAGCCAATACTTTCAACTCTTGAGTCCTTGATAAAATTTCTCACTGTCTCTTACGTTCCACTTTGGAGCATATGACGGAACCCATATATAAGTAAACCCTTTGTAAACTGTTAAGAATTTTCCTTTTACTATCTATGCTCGTGCTCTGTGTTATAATCTAAACGCATTTCTCTTTTCATTTTGTCTTCCAGTATTCCGATAATCATCTTTTAAGCATCAGATATGCAGAGCCCAGCTTCTCGTCTCAGTCCAGAATATAAATCACAGTAATTGCTTCTGAGGTAACTCAGTTTCCCACTCTTTTGAAGTCCAACCATTCTTAGATGCTGTGTTTTCTGTTAGGAATTCTTCTAAGAATATTTTGCCTTACTGGTCACCTTAGTAAAAATATTTGAAAGATGTAACTCGTAGTTGTCCTTGACTGGTGCACCTTGTCATATTGATGACGTTTGGGTTGTTGTATCTTGAAAATACCGTAATTGCATGGATGAGTAGTATATGATCCATGCTTGGTATTGAAAGTTATTAGCTTGTATTCTCTTCTGCTAACCCAGCCATATAACATATCTCAGTTCCTGTGGAATCAGCTTGGGTAGAAAGGAGATATCAAAGCTTTTAAACATGCGTGGATTGACGGATGAACAGAGACAGAGAGGAAAGGGACCAAGAAGAAGTCAAACTATGGGGAAAAATCTATGATGAGGATCTTAGTCCTGTCAAAAGACACAAGGTAAGTAGATTGGCACACTCATCCTTTTGTTGGTTTGACCAGAGAGGAGAAGACAAGAGTCCATATAGAGGTGGAACATGATGATAGTTTTCCAGGGAAAATAAGATGAAAAAGCTTGTTTGGATCCCTAACCAGAACCTCATCACTCATCAGTTTCTTACTCATGGCTTGACAATGACCTGACGGATCAAGCCTCCGGTGCTCGTCTTTTGTTCATGGTAATATTGGGCTAATTAATGGGCCTATTACTCTCTCTGAGAGAGAAACAGAGATCTTCCAAGATACTTTGGTGAGCCCTATAGATCAATGATGATGATTCATTTGTGTTGTTTGCTAATAAAAAAAACATCAGCCTATCTTGTAATGTATGTCTGGCTTGTTTTGGATATATATGTTAATGCTTTGTTTCTGACATTGGAAC